ATTTTTCGCTCGTTTAGATAATATAGAGGTTTGAAATTATGAATAATTATCACTTGATTGACACGTGACGTCACCGTTAGCTCTTCACTCTGGCTGTTAGCCTGTGGTCTGCTCGGCTTCACCTGAGCTAACAGGCTAATCCCCGTCACCGAGCACGAGCGGAGTCTGTGGAGGAGTTTTCGCTCACATATCGGATGAATATCATCGTTTGTTGTTCGGCTGATTGTCCTGACGGAGAAGTGGAAGACGTCTGTGCTGCAGTGTCTGTGGTGAGTAAAGTACTGTCTTTGATTTARGTGTCAGTAGTGATGAGCAGGTATCATTGTGTCTGTACCTGGCTGGTTAGCTTAGCTCCGCTAACCTCCAGGCAAGATACCAGCAGTAACGGCGATGCTAACGGGAGGGACGGGAGTTATTAACCCGACATGAAGCGTTCACACAGCGGAGAGAGGAGCGTTAGAGTTAATGGTGATACATCTTTTAAACTGAAGGCGACTGTGTGTTTAGTGAATATCATCAAGTTAGATATTTAACGTTATGTAAAGTTGTTCAGCTCGCCAACCTATTTGGCTTGACTACGTTACTGTGAGTAACTTCAGTAATAATGTTTTATTAGATTATTGTTTCAGAAATAACGTCAGTGCAGCTGCTGCAGTGTGAAACTTATTGAGCTGAACTTTATTTATGAATGAACAGTTTACCTATCAGGTATAGACCTGCTTTCATAACTTACTAACATATATATGCAATACTTTTAATGTGAAAAGAACTCCATACTGCACATTCATTGTAGTAGACTGTTTAATCCCAAACCATATTCAGATACATATTTGAATATCCACAGAATATAAGGACACAGACTTTGTTTGAAAGTAACATGTATCTCTGCAATATTGCCATACTTTTATGTTTCCTGTCATTTTATCAGGGACGGACGAACCTGAGGGACACAGCAGTGCTGACCGTTTTCTGTCTCCTGTGGCAAAAGAGAAAAGACAACACTTTTTATCTAAGGTTTATCAAATCAGAAAGTAAAAGATGAACATTGTTGTGATAGTGTTAATTTTACCAACCATAATGGATATAGAAATTGACTCAATATTATTAACATGTTGACCAGCCTGAAGCTGCCGATCTCCACCATGTTGCTGCGGCCACAGTGGATTCTGAGGACATCAGGTGTTGCAGTGCTTCATGAAATGAAAAAAGTCATGTTAAAGGATGTTTTATGCTAAAATCATTGTCACATCTGTAGATATTAAGGAACAGAGGAGAAACATGATAATTTACAGATACTGTACAATACAATAATTACAATAATTTTGACACATGTAATATCAGCTGTGTTAAGCAGCCAAGACGGGTACRTACAGTTTATTCTGTGTTCAGCAGGTGGAAGCACCACAGATTTCAGCCAAACTGATGTACTAAAAGAAATAAACATTGTATAAATATATAAAATGTCTTTCTACCACATCTGTAATATTAAAGGGTGATAATCTCTCACAGTGCTGTTGATAACAGTCCACTTCAAGTCCCTCAACTTCTCGCAGTGTTAAAACAGATATATAATATATATACATATATAATAAATATGAGCACTGTTTACAACAGTGGTGTGTGGAGATTATAATCACATCTAAACTGTCATATAATTACACATCTGCACTGAGTCTAATTCACTGTGAATTCTATAACAGGCTAAAAAAAAGAGGTTGTAATAGTAATGGCGGTTATACAAGTCTGTATCACATGCATCTTATTAATATTAACTTATTAAAAATTACAATCAAATGACAAAAAACAACTCTTTACTAAAGCTAGTTAACTTGCTTCAAACTTCATTAGATGTGTTAAATAAACGGTGAATTACCACAATAACATCAAAAACCACTTGAGGAATGTATGTATATGTGGTATGATTATAATAATAAATAAATCAATAGGTTTTGTTGTTGTAAAGTTTCAGGGTAACTTACCTCTGRTCGGTTCGATGTTACGACTTCGACCATCCCAGCAACAACACCGCAGCGCTAGCCGGTTAGCAGTCGCGGGTAGCATTTAGCCTAGCTCCTTAGCCTGAGCTAACCAGATAACGATAAGCTCTGTGGGCGTGGCTCAGTTGTCAGTCTTCACTCAGCCCACCAAGCATCCACTCACGTGCCTTCTCTTTGCTGATTTATGGGTTAGCCAGGAACTAGGAGGAGTCAGGCCCCGGCAAGATGGTGCTGGGTGAAACACCCACTACGAGCCTCATTTTCACTCTTCAGAAACCAACGGGTGACGTCACGGACACTACGTCCATCTTTATATACAGTCTATGCTCTGAACCCTAGACCATCAGCACTGGATCCCCCACCAAGGCTGCGTTCTTTCTCCTCTGCTCTTCTCTCTATACATGAACAGCTGCACCTCTAGTCACCATTCCATCAAGATTTTGAAGTTCGCGGACAACACCACCCTCATCAGACTCATCTCTGGTGGGGACGAGCTTACAGGTGGGAGATTGACCACCTGGTCATCTGCTGCAGTGACAACAACTTGGAGCTCAACACTTTCAAAACAATGGAGATGACTGTGGACTTCAGCAAGAACCAAGTCCCACCTGCCCCTATCACCATGTGTGACTCTCAAGTGGACACAGTGGAGTCATTCCACTTCCTGGGCACCTTCCTCGCTTCCACGCTTTTTTTTATTTGCTTATAGTATTTTTTTGTGTATATTTATAATTGCACAAACACAACAAATCCCTTTGATGTGTAAACCTGCTTGGCAATAAAACCTTATTCTGATAGTTGATTGACTACCTGCTATTATTCGTGTCCTTGAAATAGAAGTGTTGCACAGAGTCTACTCGCCCAAATTGAATTGCAGTTCATTGGCCTTAATTTGGTGATACAAGATGTCTTTTTGATATTCTGCAATCCCTCTCTTGATTTATGTTCAGCTTTGGATCTAGTTGAAGCCCCTTGTGCAACATTTTCAAGATTACAGGATTTAATCCTACTTTAAAGTAATTTTGACAGAAGTTTTAAAAGCTGCTGAAAAATGCAATGTGGAGACGAAACCTATTCCATAAAGAAAGACAAAACAGAGCAGAACGCTAGATGGACATAGATGGACCCTCTGTATAGGTGAGCATTCTGAGCAGACCAGGGACACTTTTCATGTCAGCACATTCTACCCTGTGCTTGATAACATGCTCAGGGAGCTAAAGAGAAGATTCTCAAAACTAATTTTTTCAATTTTATTTATATAGCGCCAAATCATAATATACATTATCTCAAGGCACTTTACATAGAAGGTCAAGGCCTTAATATAGAGAAACCCAACAGTGGACAGTGGAGAGGAAAAACATTAACAGGGAGAAACCTCTAACAGAACCAAGCTCAATGTGGGCGGTCATCTGCCTCGACCAAACTGAAATAACGATGGGGATCAAGGCATTAAATAAGGCAAGTGCTATATTTTGCCATGGGGAGGCTCTTAATTAATTTGTTTGTATTTATGATTGGACCATAGAAGACCTCAGATATGAGGTACACCAAATGAAAATAATCCTAGAGAGGAAAGTAACATCTGGCATACAGAACCCCTTTTGCATAGTGGAGCTCACTAAAATGCTTTAACCTTTTAAATAGGTATTCCACAAACTCTTCAGATTATGCAAAATTACCATCACATACCTGTTAATACTACTTTCTGTGATTGCAGCTTTTCCACACTCAAGCTGGTTCAGACATACCTGCCATCTACCATGGATGACAATAGACTGAGCAAGTGTGGAGTCTAGACAAGCAAAGTCCCTGGACATGGATGATTTTGTAAAGTGCTTTGCTGCAAACCACAATAATCATAGAATACAGCTGTTGTAAACTGAATGTATGACAATCATCTCACATGTATAATGGTGTAGACAGGGAGTCAAATGGGAATATTATTGCTTTGAGCCTTAGTTTGAGACAGATCTAAAAGAAAATACATAATCCCCTTTGTAATACAAATACTGTGGGTATTCTAGTTTTTGCAATTACTGTAGGCCTACATAATTTGTGTTTTGACAATGAATAATAAGTAACGTTTACCATATCAGTGCTAGCTCAGAGAGTCGGGTCAAATGGATTTGTAAAAAACCTGGAATTTAAAAATTAGACCCTCTTGCACTTGTATCAATTTGAATTAATTTGGCCTATTGTGATCTACACTCAGATTTGTTTGTATCTTTTTGAGTGCAGACATTTATTCTGAACCAATAATTATTGGTTTTATGCATATGCCGATGTTAATATATTATCATATTACAATCATACTTTGATTAAAAAAACGGTTGCGTATGTGTCCCTGTATTCCTGATGATACACTGAGAGAATGAGGTCATAGTTCTGCCAATCACCATAAACTGACCTTAACATCTGCTCTCAGAAAAGTAATACTCAGCAGCTCAGTAGTCTGTATTTTGTGTTACATAGTGTAAACTTCTTTGTTACTTTGCCTGCAGGAATAAGACAAAATGTTAGATACACTGAATATTATTTGATCTTTTTCCAGTACTGCATGCATTCCAAATATTGTAGAGGTGTGTGGTATAGGTGAGTTAAATAGCCCTTTATTCTAGTGAGACTGGTTCAATCCTGGGGCACCCCACTGAAAATGTCCTGGCTCCATCACTGAGCCTATAGTGCAACCTGGTGAAATAGTTTGAAAAACTTTTTTAGAGTCACGATTGGTAGAAAAGGGTGATGTTTTGCCCAGACGCTCCACAGAGAAACTCAAAAGCTGCTGTGGCCACAGCTCTTACATTTTTTGTTAAAAGCCTGAATTATAATTTTTTTTTTTTTTACATATATTGCCCTTTCCTGTTCTAGCCTGTTGTATCTGATCATTTTTTTTCACATTGGTTATTCAATTACTATTCAGGTCGGCTCTGTCCTACAAGTATCCTTTATCAGTTACTTTACGTGTTAGTGCTATTGGCAAACATAGTAAAAGATTATGATTACCTGTCATTAACGAATAGTAATTGGGGTATGATAAACTGGGGAAGTCTGGCGTCATGTAGTCCACCTTCACCCCATTGCCCACAAGCTCTCGAAATCCGGGCAGCGTGTGCAAGTCATCCATGTAGTCATATCGGAAGCCATCGATAAGGAACACGAGCAACGGATGAACTGCGACACACAGATGCCCCTTTCCCCAAGGCAGGAGCAGCGGAAGAATCAGGCGCAGAGACCGCGTGAGTTTCTGTGTGGGGGACATAATGGTGTAGCCTAGTGCTGTGCTTACTGTGTGTGCCGGATGTCCGCAAACTGTGGGCTGGACTGTATGGAGGACTAAAAGTGCCAAAATGAAATAAATAAATACACCATTAAATAATTACTTAAATGTGTCATTAAATAATTAAAATACCAATTATTTCACTATTTA